TGGGATTTGCCTGATTCCTACTGAGCACTTAATTCAGATTATTTTGCTAAAAGACAAATCACAACTACAGTGAAGACTGCTTTAACTTGAAATTTCTATGTTTGAATTAAAAATTTTAAGGATCTGGAAATAATTCCCTAATTTCCTTGCCAACATGATTGTGTTAAATTCCCTTTAGGATGAACGAGCCTTTCCCAAAGGAGATTTCTTCCCTCCAGAGCGACCCCAACAACTCCCTCGTAAGTGTCCCCTGCATGATTCAACATCTTCTRCTTTTAATTTGGCTGTTCAGCACCTGGGAACCAGTCCCAGCCCCAGTAAAAACTCTGCTTCAAACTGGAAAACTGGGAACCAAATTCCTGAATGTTTTTCAGAAGGGGGAATAGTGAAGAAGAGCTGCTCAGTGATTTTTTTTCATTTTTTGGATACTTCTTTCAGCTCATGGCTAGAAGCTTGTCTTAAAACATTCACCTTCACAAGGCTTCCAGAGCTTTCCATTGCAATTCCAAGATCCCAATGCTTTTTATTAAAAGTGGGATTTAATGGAAACTTAATGAATCAATCAGCACCTCCTTTTATGGGRTGGTGCTTTGGGATTAGAATGTTTTCCCTTCAATTGAAAGGGCTGAATTCAGGATCAAGGGGATCTTATCAATGAATTAAATATGGAAAGAAGAGGGAACCAGGCTCTTCTTGGAGATGGAAGAGGCAGAAATCACCAACCAAAACCCAGGAGACTGGAAATTCAAAATAATTGACTGCCCCAACTTGGGGAGTTGGAATGAATTAAAAGCTCAAGTCTAGAACAGCAGTGGAAATGCAGAGACTCCATGTGGACCTAAGGGAACGTTCCAGAAAGGGGACTGGGTTGCTCAGAGATGCTGTGGAGTCTCCATCCTGCTCCAAAGCTGTGGATTGATCCGGGGTCACCAAAATTCCCTTCCAACCTCGGCCGTGCTGGGATGAGATACTGGAAATATTGAAGAGAAGAGTTGGGATGGGAAGAGCTGGAGGCTGAATTTATTTAAATGCAGCAAATTTGGGGCTTTTTTTTTGTGTAATTTGGATTGTCCTGAGCACCCTGGGCTGTGGAGAGTGTCCTTTGAGTCCCTTCCAACCCCAGTCATTCTGGGATTTTATGGATTCAGGCAGATGCTGTTTTCTTCCTGGGACCTGTTGTGTGCTGCTGCATTGCTCATGATCATTAATTAGTCTCATTAATTAGTCCCTTCCTAGTTCAGCTCTCAGTGTCTCTCAGGACTTTCCTATCACTCCCCTCCTTCAGGACAAAACCAATTGCACTCCCTTGGTGTYAAACTCCCCAAACCCTCTGGAAGCCTGGATTTTTGGCCTTTACTGGGGTGGGGAATGGGGACCTTGTGCTGTTTTAAAACAAGATTCAACACTCCTGTGTTCAGTGCTGAGCTGGAAATGAGGGAATCCTGCCAGGCAAAGCAGAGAACTTTCTTCCTGCTTCAAGGAAAAAAAAAAAAAAATTTAATTTTGTTTCTTCTTTTTCTTTGGGCTGGGGAATCTTTAAGGCAGATTGAAATCCCTGCCTGGGAAATGCCATGATTTTTTTTTTGCTCAGAGAGAGGCTGGCTGTGTGCTCRCAATTCCATAGGTGGCTGTCATTTATCCATAGGTTGGCCCTGGTGGTTCA